CAGCAGTACTCCACTTTAAGTTTACATAGCAAGTGGTTTGCTGCTATACTTATGTTCTGAATGTTGTATACAGTGATTTTAAACAAGTCATTTTGTTTTGGATTTTTTTAACATTCAGTAAAAAAAAATATTCTCAACTGCCTGATAGCAAACTAAGAAATGGAAAGTGAAATTACTCTGCTAACATTTGGCTTTTCACAGCTTACACATTTTTCCTAATTTTTATTCCATCTATCTCTAAGAGATGTCACTATGCAGGCAGAGGCAAATGAGAAACTGCCTAAGCTCTTGGTAGTAGCAGAGGAAAAGGCCCAGACAGCCCACGACAAGACAGGATTAAAGCATAGACCTCCATGGCTTCTGTGACAGAAAATCCAGATGTGACATTTTGTGTTGATCAGTTCACATGCGGCTCATTTCCTAAGGAAGGTCCGGTTTAAAAATCTATGCGAACAGTCAGATAAAAATAATGATTCTCATTCCCTGGTGTGCCTAACATCACCAACAAGTCAGTTATGAAATATGTGTTTCTAAGCTGCTTATACATTATGTTAAGAACATACAGTAATATGAGTTTTTCCAGGTGAATCATTTTGTGTGGACAGCTTAAATCCCTCAACAGCTGCTTCCAGTCATCACCCATTGCTTTGATGGAAACTGTTTGTCCAGCCAAAAACAACAGCACTGACAGATGATGGAAGAGGCTCATCGTACTGTATACGTTATGTAACTGCAAACCCGCAAATGACAGTTGGTTCAGCATTAGCTGGGGCCCAACAGGATATTATCCAATGTGTAATGAGTATAAATGCCTTTTTCCAAAGAATTTACTGAATAAGCAAAACTTCTTAAATGCATCAAGGGTTGTCTTTATGAGAACAACCATAAAATAACTGTACTGTATAAGACTACACAATGACCAAAGTCGGGTAATCTTATCAAAGAACTAGAGCACTCGGAGAGCGCAGACCTCCGCCAAGCAGCTCGGATTTCCCGCCATTTTATTATTTTATCCACTTCGCTTCAACCGATCACCACCAAAATTTTACCATCTGTTCCTTGTCCCATTATCAACCTTTCCTGAAACTTTCATCAAAGTCCGTTCAGAACTTTTAGAGTTATTTTGCAGACAAACAGACAAACAGACCAACGCTGGTGAAAACATAACCTCCTTGGCGGAGGTAATAACATTTCTAAGAATCAGACAGAGCACCACGTACCAGCTTTAAGCTCTTTATAGTTTTTAATATACCAATAATTGGAAACACAACTTGGTCCGTACTGAAAAATAATTGTGGTTAAATTCCCAGCACGAGCTTCCTGAAGAGCATCGCATCTGTGTTTATACCATAGCAAAAAACAATCCCACTTTTATTATATCTTCAAAAGCAGCATTCATACCAAGTCTTATTAGAAGTTGAAAACATAATGAAAAGGATCAAGGATTCTCAACTTGATTAAATTTGATCCAGGACTGTCTCTAGCATTTTTCCCAGGTGTCTTAACATGTTGTATGGTTTTAGATGTTCCTCACTGAATATCAGGATCATTGTTACGCTGACATCTCTGCTATGTCATTAAAACTGCTTGTGGGCAAAGTGGGCACTTGAGAATTTATGAGGAACATTCTTGAATCGGCACAGTCCTAGGGTGATACTAACAGAAAATGAGACTGACTGCCTCTGCCATTCTGAACACAACAGAAAACCTCTCACCAGACAGAACGTTGAGAGTGAACAATTCTGCAAAGTCGTGGATTATGTTAACATGCAATTTTTTTTTTGTTTTTTTTTAATGTCCATTGCAAAAATATTGGGCAGGACAGTGGTGCAGTGGTTAGAAGTGTCTCCTCACAGCAAGGGGGTTCCTGATTGAAACCTGGAGTCGGGGAACCCGTCTGTGTTTGCATGTTCTCCCCGTGTCAGCATGGGTTTTCTCTGGGTGCTCCCGCTTCCTCCCACAGTCCAAAGACATGCAGGTTAATTGGTAACTCTAAACTGGCCGTAGGTGTGAATGTGAGTGTGAATGGTTGTCTGCCCCCCCACCCCCCCAACAGGATAAGCGGTTACGGGAAATGAATCAATGCCAAAATATGTAAAATAATTTATTTCTTCAACATCTGCACATGCCAACCACAGTATGGCTAATATTATGGTTATGATTCTGATTAAGATTAGGCAACCAAACACTTGGTTAAAGAGACAGTTCACCCCCAAATCAAATGAACATATTTTTTCTCTTACCTGTAAGTGCATTTTATCAGTCTAGATTGTTTTGGTGTCAGCTGCTGAGTGTTAAGGATACTGGCTGTAGCAATGTCTGCCTTCTCTCCAATATAATGGAACTAGATGGCACTCAGCTTGTGGTGCTCAAAGTGCCAAATAAATAAATAAGAAACTCAACAGCAATGTCTCTTTCCAGAAATCATCACTGTGATACTCAAGATAATCCACAGACCTTGGTGTGAGCAGTTAAATGTAGGAACTATTGCTCATGATAGTGCGAGGTGTAAACATTAATGGTGTCATCCTTGGCTGTAATGTTAGCTAGCTCAGTGGTGCTAGGTGAGCTAGCATCAGATTCATGCTTCCTTCTGCACTGTGATACGGTTGGTGGGTGTAGTTTACTCCCAACAAGGTCTGTGGGTTATTTTGAGTAACCGGGTCATGATTTCTGGAAAGAGACATTGCTGTTGAGTTTTTCAAATGTATCTTTTTGGCACTTTGAGCACCACAAGCTGAGTGCCATGTAGTTCCATTATATTGGAGAGAAGGCAGACATCTCTATGGCCAATACAGTATATCCAACACTCTGCAACTCAAACCAAAGCAATCTAGATTGATAAACAGCACTACAGGGAAAATGTGTATGTGTGGGGGGGTGAACTGTCTCTTTACGTTTAAGGAAAGACTGTGGGTACACTTAAAAAACAAACATTTAGTGTTGCATTGTGGGAAGACACAAATGCCAATTTACCACCCTATCCTCCACAGCATGGCAATCAGGGTTAGATGAGTAAAATACTGTGGTTACAGTGACATAAAATATAGCACATAAAAAAGCACATAGAGACTATACTACTTCCTGCATTGGTAGTGAACAGTGCCATTAACCAGAAATCATGATGCGCTGCAGAATCGTCCACTATGAACATAGTTACAGACAGGGCAACTTGGCTCAGTATGATGGACTTAATTGACAGGGCTGGTATCACCAAACATGCTGTTGTAAATGTAGTGGTATAATTCTGGCTTATGGGCTCGAGCTAATGATCTACAGTACGCTGCTGGTTGATGATTCCAAGCCCTTTATATATGTGGCCTATCTAGTTTATATGTAGACTATTAAAGAAATGATCCTGTCATAAATAGTCACATTAGGCACTGCCTGCTATGCCAGTCCTAAACAGTGGACATCTTATTACCTGTTGAGGACCACTCTGAATGTAATTCACTGAAATACTGTGAATTGCATCCAGTGAAGTTACGCACGACTTGAGCAGTTTTACGAGATCCCTTTTCATCCTTACTCCAGCGGTTATTTTTATGTGGATTTTTACTTGAGTCCATATAATTTTAAAGTAACAATAATTTCACTTTAGTGCCGTTTCTGTTTTTCCACCACTGCTTACTATACTGTGGTTATGTTAACTTGGCAGGCAGGCATCAACATGTGACACAATGATCCTTGTGTAGTGTAGAGACATAAATCATAAGCAGATTTAATATATGAACTACAGATCGTTAGGGTTATCTTACATATCTGTGTATGCAATTACTGACATGCAGGATAACATTATGGATAAAATGTGCCTGAAAGAACTGTGCAATGCAACAAGCATGGTTTACTGTACCAGCTGTAGTCTAATTCAGTGTCTCCTGATATGAACTCAGTATGGATGTAAAGGGGGCTTCTGATCAAACTAACTCAACGATTGATCAGATACATCATTCTTCCAGGCACATTAAATAGATACAATTCCATTTTAAATATGCTTAAATAAAACCAGATATGCATCATAATATTTCAAACATTAAGCAAGGAATCATTGCCCTCCTTTTGTTGGACTAAAACCCGAATAATGGGCATCGGAAACCCTCAATAGGTCAAGGTGCCCAATTTAGAACAAACCACTAATTTTCAATGTCGTTCTTATCAACACCTTCACTGGACAGATGGCCGGTTTATTGGGGAATTAGTTGGAGGCACAATTCATACAAGAAAAAACAGATGATAAATAATGTGTACCATAAATTTGCAGTATGGTCCACTGCAACTTTGACTTGACTGTGTTCTTTACCACAGACAGCAAGCTGATATATTCACATGTATAATTCTATATACAACATCTTATAATACACCTTTATTGTACATGTAGGTACTGTACGAAAATATAATTTATAGCCTATATATAGTGACACACATTTCATATACACAAGACTTAGATACAGCTTTGTAAAAAAAAACATACTGCAAAATGAGTTTTGCTTCTTTTTTTTTGTTTCCAGTTCCTCTACCTCCATAAATCCCACAGAAAAGTAAAGGAATTCACTGAAATGTTGAGAACTGCATGCTTTCAATAATTACTGCTGGAACTAACTCCGTTCATGAGAAATTAACTTTAAAAAGAAACACTTTATAATAACCACCATTAATAAAGGGTAAACTGGTAGCTCATTAAACTTTAGTTAATATTAATTTTACGGTTAACAAACAATTACAATGATAATTAATCAGATTTACTAATTGTAAGTAATGCTAGAATTCAACAGTTACTGTTGTACACATTTTAACAGTTTATGTATTGTATTACATTTGTGTTAATGGTTAATAATTTGTTTGTAAATGGTCTATAAACATTATTTGGATTATAATACCTTGTTAAATGGCTAATAAACACTGTATAGTGTATCTATAAGCATTACAACTTTAAAATGGCCACACAAATCACATTTATAGACTGTTAACAACTTATTATTAACCATTAACAAATACTTAATGTAGTATATAAAATATTGTGTTTGCAGCAATAAATTTCAACAATCAATTTACCATTTATTAATGATGATTATTATGAAGCATTCCCAAAAAAGTAACTTTTTCGACATTTCAGTGCCTGTGACAGATTGTTATTTTATAAAAACAAATATGCTGAGTTACTGGCTGTGATTAAATAACGTCCCTGCGGAGAAAACACGGCTGTGCGATAAGTAATTTTAACAGTCCTCATCCTCCTCTTCATCACGTGGCACAGACATGTGTGAGCTCTACCAAAGTCCTTCGCTGTTAACATGAGCTGGCCAAGTAAACTGTCCTCAGTTGTGACGAGATAATAAAAAACACTGTCCACACCTGTCGCACAGACACAGGCAGAGAGCGCTGTGAGCTCGCACTCCGTCAGCTTTCCTGCAGGCTCCCCCACCTTTAGTTTTGCTATCTTTTGTTTTTGTACAAGCAGCTCCGCCGTTATTCATCCATCAGTCTGATGACAAGGCACCATATATGGGGATGCCATATGTTAAGACAACGCATGTCCACCTTTCAGGTTATGAGCATGTCACTGATATGTTCATTTTGTAACAGGCCCACTGCCCAGGGATGCTGTCCTCTTGTCTATTTCAGGCGCTGCAGGGGGTGGCCTCCTTTGCCTGCTGGGAAAGATGAACACAGAGACACTTAAAGCCACATGTGATCAGGTACTGCTTATTGAGTCATAGTTCAAAGACCACCATAACCCAAAGGCTTTTCCTCCAATACTTTTTAACATTTCCTAAAGTGGAACAACTTAACATAGTGCATGTATGCATGTATAGTTAGCCACCCTGGCCAGCTCAATTATCTTGTGGCCACAAGATAATCTATATATACAGTACAGGCCAAAAGTTTGAACACACCTTCTCATTCAATGTGTTTTCTTTATTTTCATGACTATTTACATTGTAGATTCTCACTGAAGGCATCAAAACTATGAATGAACATATGTGGAGTTATGTACTTAACAAAAAAAGGTGAAATAACTGAAAACATGTTTTATATTCTAGTTTCTTCAAAATAGCCACCCTTTGCTCTGATTACTGCTTTGCACACTCTTGGCATTCTCTCCATGAGCTTCAAGAGGTAGTCACCTGAAATGGTTTTCCAACAGTCTTGAAGGAGCTCCCAGAGGTGTTTAGCACTTGTTGGCCCCTTTGCCTTCACTCTGCGGTCCAGCTCACCCCAAACCATCTCGATTGGGTTCAGGTCCGGTGACTGTGGAGGCCAGGTCATCTGCCGCAGCACTCCATCACTCTCCTTCTTGGTCAAATAGCCCTTACACAGCCTGGAGGTGTGTTTGGGGTCATTGTCCTGTTGAAAAATAAATAATCGTCCAACTAAACGCAAACCGGATGGGATGGCATGTCGCTGCAGGATGCTGTGGTAGCCATGCTGGTTCAGTGTGCCTTCAATTTTGAATAAATCCCCAACAGTGTCACCAGCAAAACACCCCCACACCATCACACCTCCTCCTCCATGCTTCACAGTGGGAACCAGGCATGTGGAATCCATCCGTTCACCTTTTCTGCGTCTCACAAAGACACGGCGGTTGGAACCAAAGATCTCAAATTTGGACTCATCAGACCAAAGCACAGATTTCCACTGGTCTAATGTCCATTCCTTGTGTTTCTTGGCCCAAACAAATCTCTTCTGCTTGTTGCCTCTCCTTAGCAGTGGTTTCCTAGCAGCTATTTGACCATGAAGGCCTGATTGGCGCAGTCTCCTCTTAACAGTTGTTCTAGAGATGGGTCTGCTGCTAGAACTCTGTGTGGCATTCATCTGGTCTCTGATCTGAGCTGCTGTTAACTTGCAATTTCTGAGGCTGGTGACTCAGATGAACTTATCCTCAGAAGCAGAGGTGACTCTTGGTCTTCCTTTCCTGGGTCAGTCCTCAAGTGTGCCAATTTCGTTGTAGCGCTTGATGGTTTTTGCGACTCCACTTGGGGACACATTTAAAGTTTTTGCAATTTTCCGGACTGACTGACCTTCATTTCTTAAAGTAATGATGGCCACTCGTTTTTCTTTAGTTAGCTGATTGGTTCTTGCCATAATATGAATTTTAACAGTTGTCCAATAGGGCTGTCGGCTGTGTATTAACCTGACTTCTGCACAACACAACTGATGGTCCCAACCCCATTGATAAAGCAAGAAATTCCACTAATTAACCCTGATAAGGCACACCTGTGAAGTGGAAACCATTTCAGGTGACTACCTCTTGAAGCTCATGGAGAGAATGCCAAGAGTGTGCAAAGCAGTAATCAGAGCAAAGGGTGGCTATTTTGAAGAAACTAGAATATAAAACATGTTTTCAGTTATTTCAACTTTTTTTGTTAAGTACATAACTCCACATGTGTTCATTCATAGTTTTGATGCCTTCAGTGAGAATCTACAATGTAAATAGTCATGAAAATAAAGAAAACGCATTGAATGAGAAGGTGTGTCCAAACTTTTGGCCTGTACTGTATATGGTATTAAAAGAGTACATGTTCACTGCTAAGAGAGAATATTCTTGTACTACTTCTAACAAATTTAATTTTTTCTCGAAATATCTACTGAACATTGCATTTTTCCCCTGTAGTACTCTTACCTGTTCATGCAGAAGCTGCTGCAGTGAGAGTCAGTCTGCTGTGCACACACACAGCGCTGGGCCACTGCCCACTTCCTCCCCTGTTTTGTTCCAGTGGAGCGCCTCACACGCAGGGAACCCTGGTAACTGGACATACCATATGGTACAGTGTGCCTAAAAAAAAGACACATCATAAACAGTGAGCTGAGTGACAAGTCATATAGGAACCTGACATTACACTTCAGCCCTACGGCAGAAGTGTAGCTTTTTACAAGGCTCGTAATGTTGATGTTTCCTATTGCGGCTGCCATTTGGGTGCCCTATGTGAATTTGCTTTGAGACAGACATGACACATCACTTTGGTTTCAGTCTCGTTTGCTTGCCGGGGTTGTAACATAACTTTGTACCCAAATTCTACTGCTTTCATTGTTGCAATCCACAAAATAACAACAAAAGAGCTGCAAAGACAAAAGGATGTGTTTTTTTTAACCTAATGACTCTGACACATAGTTCATTTTATTATGTCATGCAATCATGTATCATATTGCCTATAATGGTCTCATGGTGCTTTATTAAATGTAAATATTTCATATTATGATTATGATTAATGATCCTTAGCTACTCTGGTGCCCTCCAGTGCGTAATGTCCAACAGAAAGGGTGTGATGCACATGTATGTAGCGGTGGCACTGTGTCAGAGAAATAGATTTAACTCTATAGGGATTTTAAAGCTGTTGTCTGTGGTGGTGCTATAATGGACTGCATTATACTGAGCAGTGTTTTTAATATTATGTCTTTAGACATTTGGATACAAGATGGGGACAGAATATAAAAAACATCTTTCAGGATAATACAATCCAGTACAGCGTCATCACCACAGAATGCAACCTCCAAAATGACCTTATTTATCCACTGTAAAAAAAAAAAGTGGCTACAACAATTAAGCATAAGCTTTTTTTAGAACGTAGGGCTGGTTAAGATATAATATCTAT